TAAACATATTTGAATTCGCCAATAGGTAGTGAGAACTGCCGTTGTTGGTACCTCGTATTATGCTTATATGCCGGAAAAGATGGAGTAGTAACTACAGTTGGGCCAAATAGATCGGTGGGCACTGTAGCTTTATTTTGGCTTTCATTCTCTCCTGAATGTTTTCGTGAGGGAGAATGTCTGCAGGACCCGTTCCCATCTTCTTGTGCAATTACCAAGGAAGGCGCAGGAAGCAGACTGAGGCCTTCTTCTCGTTGCTCAGTTGAGCTATGGATATCTACCCGCAACTGGGCCTTTTGAATTGGATGGGTTCTCCACCCGAGACCTGGATTTCTCGAGCACATTGTGATGGAACGAACTAGTTGTTTGATTATTGCGCCTCGAGGTTGGTCGGCTTTGGCTTCCACCTCTCTGTCGGTTCTCGGAGGGCGGTGACTGCACATCCTCTGGCCCGTTATTATACGTTTCTTCGAACTGGCTCATTCTTCGTAGGAGTTTGTTATTGGTAAATGTATCGTACTCCCCGAACAGCTTCAAGGGGCTGCCGGAGGATCTTGGCCTGGAGTCATTTGTTTCACGTCGTTCCCGGTACGGTGTAAGGAATTTGGAAGGAGATTGCTGGTTTTGATGATGTTGTTTTAGTTGCTGTTGGGGGGGAAATATTCCCTTTCGTCTGTCGACGTGTGGGGAGTTTCTAAGCTTTGAGCCAGATAGGAAGGAGGAAGAATGGAGAGTTGAAAGTAGAGATGGCGTTAGTTGGCGGTGGCGAAAGGATCCGTCGTTGGAGTGACCACCACGACGCATGCTGATAAGACCGCCAACTGAAACGAAATCCGTTGTTCCAACAGATAAATCTTCGGGCAACGATTGGCTGGTCATTTCGACGGTTTGCTCGGTTCCGTTGGAAAAAGTCTGTTCCCCTCGATGGCTAAGGTAACTATAATCATCGCTGACCACGGAGTCCCTCCTGCGGGAATAAAGACCTTCTTTTCCTGTTACCACAGAACTTTTCCCTCGGTCAAGAATCGACTCCAGAAATGTGCGACTGGTATGTTCCCTGGCTGTTTCATCTTTGGAGAATAGAATGGGAGTAATTTCCTCGTTGCGTAGTTCCTCTCTGCCACTCAAAGTCCGCGATCGGGGGTCAAAACCGAGACTTCCACTACCTTGAATATAACCGAACGAACATTTTGCTTTATCCACTGAAGTATTGTATCTTTCCATACTGTCCTGATCACCGTCTGCAGGCTTTCCCCTCTGGGTACCATCAATACCATTTGGCGAATTGTCCGGTATCCTGTCTCTTGAAGAGATCAAGGGAACGGACGCTGGATGCTTAGCCTGGATGGAGGTCAAGATATTCGTTTGGGTTGTTGGTTCCGCGGTTGGCGGGGGAGGCTTAAACACGTTCTCCAATTCCATAGGGCCAAATAGATCACCACCTTCACCCACTGGAGCTTTGCCAAGGAGAAGCCTCTTTTTCCATTCTGGAGCATCACCCGCGGGGACTATTTTACTTCGAGGTTTGATTTGCATAGTAGAACTTTCAACAGGAGAGTCTGACTGAACTTGTACCGACACTGTCATATTTTAGGGGGAAGAAACAAGAAAAAAACAACCAATTAGCTATGGGACCGATGGTAGAGTAGAGTAGAGGAGAGTTGATGCTGAGGCTGAGGCTGAGGCGTTGACGTTGTACGAAACAGCTTACCTTTTGGACCAAGACTGGCGGTCAGAACATTGATAATGGAGAAGGAGTGATTGGACGAGAGATTGCTATTGGACGGCTCAATGTCTGATAAGCGGGATGGCTCTGATGATTTGCGCATGTGTCTCAGATAATTAAAGCTGGGTTTTTGCGAAGAAGAGATACTGGTGGTGGGGGGCGGGGAGGCGGATTGGCTTCGCGATGATCGTTTGAAGGAACTGGAGACGCGCTCGCGTAGGGAGTTTTGGGAGGAACAGGGTTGGGGGATCCAGTCCTGGGATAGGTCGTCAAGCCATGGCTGTTTACTCATCCTGACGTTTTCTATTTAAGATTCAAGAAGTTGCGGGGTGGTTATGAGCTGGTTTGGTTGGTATGGGATATGAGGACAGGGAGGAGAATATATAGCATAATGTTGTAACCTGCAACGTTAGAGAGAGTCACTGGAGGGGGAGGGAGAGCTGCAGTATAAGAATGAGGTATGCAGCTGGGAGGATGTGGTTAGTAGATGTGGTATTTGTGTATACAGTGTTGTAGACATAGAAAGAGGGTGGAGTTTGGAGGTTGAAGGGTTTTGTTTGATGTGTCGCAAACTACAAAGTCGTGGCCCCTGCCCTGGATGGAATTCCGAATCCGGTTAGCGTGGCCAAGATAAACAACAACAAGTTGCCGAATGCGGCATTGAGAGCTACGTCAGAGCTACAGAGAGCTACAGATATTCCGCTTCAGCCAAACGAAGGCCGCATGGTAAGAAGGAGCAACCGCGGGTTGGATGTTCCAGAAGATGACAGAATGACCAGGGGTAAAATGGTTAACGTTAACTAGTTAGTTAACTTAAATGTAATCCAACATGCGAACGGATAATACAAGTGAACTAATAACTTCTCTACAGCATCTTTAGGAGCAAATATAACAACAGCTATAGAAATGAGTTTAATTACATTATGAATTATTTCCTGTACATCCTGAGCATGTATGAGCAGTGTGTTCAATTGTACCATATATACTGCACTGTGATGCTGCTTATTTTCATGATTGAGAGTCAGAAATCTCAATTGCCTCTCTTTCTCCTTTATTGACACTTCATATATAATTTATTTCTATTTCCACTCTTAAAACATCTTTCTGAGATATATATGTATGACTTTTTCTTACTTTCTCTTTTGCTTGTCATTTATGGCTTCTAGATTCTTATTTTTCTTTATCAAAAGAACAACATTATATATAGTCATTGATCTATTCATTAGTTGATCCAGAGCTTCATTGATTGAACTATATGAACTCTGTTTCCAGTGCTTGAGATATTTCTTGACTTTTTCATTTCACAACTTAAGTTGTTATACATTATAAGATTTGAATTCATAATGCATGAGAATTATGAGAAATCTCTAAGAGTATCAAAGTGTATATGTAAGTATTGAGATGAATAAGAGCTTATTCTGAATTAGTTATATGAAACTAGCTCTGAAGCTTTAGAATTACTCTTAATAATGTTCTTATTTAGAGCTACTATATAAGTAAGCTACTGAGTATAAAGGTGAAAACTCAATTTTATCAATATGATTAATGATAATCTGTATTTAATCTTTTATTTATTATTCATACATCTTCTTTAGAGAAGAGAAATAACTTATTACACTAGTTAACTAACTAGTTAACTAATAGTTAGTTAGTTAATTAGATAAAGTAATTAGAACTGATAGCTGTGGTGCCTGGGTTTATAGGCAGATAATGAGGGGAGATTAACAATCTATCAGGGAATGAGGGAATGGCTTTCACTTACAACATCCATCTGAAGATATGTTAACTAGTTAGTGTTAACTATGTCAGCTTTATGTCACTTGATATATCTCAAAGCTGAGGGATTTCTTGTTGGAGCCTAGGCTTCCTATTATGGACTAGCGCACCGCACAATAGTATATAGCATCCCTGAGATAGGATACCAATACAACCACTTCAGACGTCCAACATTTCTGCATCCTCAGCTGCACGGTATTGTTATTCCCAGGATTACAGATTTTCTATCAGCCGGGATAGACCCCCCTGTCCCGCTTCCAAGGCAGAGGGTTCTTGGAGACTTCCAAAAGGGCGGGCTGCTGCTGGTTGCACATCCATGTTCCACGTGACCTGCTGTTGCCTAGGCAACCACCCGCCAGCTTCGCGGGCTTCAAAAGCTTACCGCGTTAAAGTGGAAAAGGAGATCCCGTGACTTTTGGCAGGCTTGGCAAGACCCCTTTGATAAGCCTCCAACAACTTCCAACGTCCAAGGATAATTGAATACGAAGTGATAATAGAATTCCATCACAGCAGAACTCAAGCTTCTACTAGTCTAGGCTTCAACAAAAACACCCCACTTAAATCAACTGCAAATGCTATCCACGGTGTCTTGTCCCTTCATCTCCTCCTCTCCCCTGAGCTCTTCCCTTTCCCCTATGTTGCGGTTTCGGCCATGCTTTGCCAGCGACACACCTCTCCACTACACTTCGAACCCCTGTCCCCGTCGCCCTCAGACCTGCTAAGTGGCTTCTCCTCTTTTGATAGTGGTGACGCACTGGATGATGCTTCCAGGACCTCGAGAAGGAGGAAAATCGAGAGCCTGGCACAGGATTACCTCGAAGGAAAGCCTCTATTTATTCTGTCGGCCAGTCTGAAGGGTCCCTTCAACAATGGCTGGGTCAATCCGTGGAAGAAGTCTGAATCTCCTAAGGAGTTGTCTAACAAGCAGCAGCGGATGAATGGCGAGCCCCAGGTAGATAGATCGGGGATTAGAGTGGTACCTGTACCTGAGCCTTCATCGTCAGTAGTAAACTACATCAAACGCCATTCGAAATACCCCCGAGTTCATCGCCGGGGGAGTGGATTTGAATCTTCCAATCCGGAGCCTATTTGCCGCCTCCAACAGCAGCAGCAACAACAACAACAACAACAATCAGAACAGCATGTCAATGGCTTGGGAAGAAAGTCAGGAAAGAGGGATAGAGAACGGCTTGAGACCGATATCTCCAGCCACAGTCAACAAAGAAGCCCGTCAATTATCCTCTCAAAACAGCGATCAACATCCGCAGTGCGGTCACGGATCTCTTCTTCTCAAGCAGAGCGTCACTGGTCAGCACCACACCGCTTTTCAAAGAGCGGCTGGTTGGAAAAGGATGAAAAGAGACTTCACCAACGGGACTTCAACCGTTCAATCTCCTCAGTCAGTCCCACACCCGGCTATCGCCGGCGCTTTTCTAGAGAATCTCAACTGCAGGACGGAGGAATACAGCACAACAAGAGGCAGCGGGTGGGTGATTTGGATGATCAGCACAAAATCCCCCCTCCTAATCATATCGCATTTATCCCTATCAATGGACGGCTTCATCCTGAGGAGGTGTCCTCTTTTCGGAGAAGTTCAAAGTCGCCGGGAGGTAGTTCCTGTTATCCAAAGCCCGACAATCCCGCTTCTGCGCTTACAGGGCATTCCAGTCGTAGAGGAAAAGAAGATATTTCTCTGCATGACAAGAAGAGCAGTTATGCATCAGCACCAAAATCACAAAAATCTCAAGATGTACAGGTTTCAGCGTCGCTTCATGGTGTCACTTCATTAGACCATCATCCAGAGTCTCAATATGGACACACTGATAAGGTAAGGTCAAGCGCAGATACAACCTCAAGCTCCAATACCCGTAAAGCTGAAAATCGATGGCGATTGCAATCATGCGGTGATAAACCGCAACGCAAAATCAAACTAAGGAGTACAGAAAATATTTCACACAACTCTGTACCAGATCTAACCCCTGAAGGAACACATGATTACCAGGACCAGGACCAAGACCAGGGTCAAGAGCAGAACCATACTTTCAATGCAACTGCGTCAGGAACCATGCCCATTCCATCTGCCCAACTGATCCCGGAGCATTCCAGATTACCAAACCCCGCATTATCCCTCTATTCCACTGACTTCTCGGGAAGGCACAATGTCACAGGTACCGCGAGACACGAGACTCAGAATCTAGGCTATGACGAGCAATTTTCGACCAAGGCAGCATTGACCATTGCCCAGAAGTCGTTGGTGGATGATTTGGCCATTGCAACTAAGGATATAGTTACAGCAACAGAAATAAGAAAAGCTTCTCGGCAACGGACTGGCCAAGCTAAACAACAAATCAATGACGTATCCCTATATGATATCCCGAATGACGACCAACCTGCCACGAATAATCCCAAGCGTCAAGCGCAAGAGGGAAGCACACGAGCGATGCTTAATTCACAGGCGCCGTTTGATTTCAGTACGGTAAAAAGGATAAAACCGGGACGACCATCAGATGCAGATACGGATATAATTGGTAAAAAATCCAAAGGGCAACGAGACACGTCCTATCCCTATTATGAACCGCCACTAGCATCTCCCTCAAACCTACGAATACAGACACAATCCCTATCTCCCAAATCCGTCCACTTCCTTCCAAATGGTGGTCAGACCAACGACTCCTCCAACCTTCCTCATCCCCTTTCCCTTCCCCATCCATTCCCCGCCGCTGCCTCTGCCCCCACCGACTCATCCCAACCCAACCACCTCTCCAACCCCATCCACCCTCTTACAACCAACCCATCCACATACACAGACAGCACCATCCTCCCCTTCAACCTCACCTCCGCTACAACGGGCACGTGCCACCAAGACGGCCAAGGCCACGGGGAATCGAGGGACAATTTCAATCTGAGCCAGGCGATCCTGGATGCGGGGACGTTTTTGGGCAGCTGGGATTTTGAGAGGTTGGAGCTTCAGCTCAGTCATAGTCATAGTCAAAGTCACAGTTACGGGCATGGCGGGAGGAATAGCCCTGGTAATGGTGATGGGAAGAAACAGCCGCCGCAGCTGTCGTCCGAGAATGTGGATGCGTCTGGACCGAGGCTTCAATCTATTCTAAGGTCGGAGCGGTCGGGGAGGGGGTAGATGTGGTCGTGTATTGCTGCTTTTGGATATTTGGTTGTGGGTTGGGGTTTGCTTGTTATGCTTTTGGTCGAGGGTATGGGAGTTTATTGGAGGCAAAGGGTTGGGGCTCACGGCACGCATACATAGACACACATGCATTCAAAACATGTGTTGTAAGGTATTATATGATATAGAAGATAGATAGCATGCCGTAGCAGATAGCAAACGAGAAATAGGGTAGAAGGATGGGGTCTTAATGGAGACGTCTTAGTTTAAATAATAGGATTTGGTTTAAGGATCTATCAGAGGGAGATGAAGTGAACACTATATAACTACTTTCTCTCCTAGTTTTAAGCTGGTTAAAGACGATAATTTGTTGATATCTACTCTGTACTCCG